AGTGAGAGGAGAGACGAGAATAGAGACGAGATGAAGCGGGGGAGGGGAGAGGTAGCGAAAAGCAATGATTGAAACACAAGCTATTGGGCACCAAAGCAATTATGAGATCACTAACAAATTACTTGGGAAATTCTCACTTTTGAACCACTTTCGCTAAATATATCATTTCTTTCAAATATGTTATTAATAATATCTTATTAATTTATATTTTATAGAAGATAGATATTAGACACACACACACACACACATTTTTTTCCAGTCCAGTTTCTTGACTATTGCATTAATTAATTGAACTATCTGCAAACATTTGTTTAAATTTACCTCCAATTTTTAAAAAGCATTAAAATAATATAAAAAAAATAAAAAATTACTAATCATTAGTTTTTAATGTAACTATCATCACAGAAACTAATGGTCACAAAATAGAAAAATTGTTTTCTTTTTAAATGTCTTTGTAAATCTACTCCAGAGCAGAGAAATAAGAGATTTATTCCACTGCTTTTAAAAAGTAGAAAAACTTTTCAAGTTTATTTTTTCACCTTGCGCAGTGCCTGAATTCCAGGTTCTCGTTTCTTTGGGAAACTTTCCGGGTTGTACAATGTCCGCCGGTTGTGCAGTGCATCATGAAGTGATGCTACATATTCTTGTATATTTTTTGTCACATCTTCCGTCAATGCAGCAACTCTCTTCCATCCCAACTCTTTCAGTATGTGAACATATACATGACTGTAACAAAATTAAAATTTTTAATATATATTTTCAGTTTTTTGTGCAATACCTTTAAAGTAATGACTTGCAACTCTTTGTAATAATGAATACAACTTAAAGATGTCTCAAAACTATACCTGTATTGTTTGTTCTCCCCCAATAGCTTCGGAAGAAATATGGATATTTCTTACGATCAGAAAAGCTTGCTCCCTCTTGCACTATAACTTATCACCACAGTAGAAAATGTCTGGTATACCTGCTAGTGGTTGCCACTGGTATCAGAACAAGGCTGGTCCTAAAACATGTGAGGGACAAAATTCATGAAAAATTCAAATATTTACATAGTAATTGTACATCACTTATATTTAAGCCTTTTTAATATATCCTAAGAGATGAAAATAATTTTATTTATGTATAGAATTGGAATATTTCCTCAATAGAAGATTTTATTTTTTTACAAGAAAGAATGATTTATCTATGGGTTTAGAAAAATTCCATATGGAATGGAACACACACAGACAATATATATATATATATATATATATATATATATATATATATATATAATATATATATATATATATACTATATATATATATATATATATATATATATATATATATATATATATATATATATAATTATATAATATATTATATATATATATATATATATATATAATATATATATTATATAATATTATATATATATATATATAAGTAAATATATATATATATAATATATATATAATATATATATATATAATTAATACAACATACATTACTGTTACAACAAAACTCTCATAAAATTGATTTATACTTCCATATCTCCATGTACAACAGTTTGTTTTCAACTTGCGAAATCAGATTGTATCTGGGCTTGTCCAGCTGAGGTTTGTAGGATGCAATACTTCTTGCTTCCGCAAAGGCCCCTAATATTTCAGTCTATGAGCTAACTACTCTGAATATGGTGAAATGGGATTGATAGTTGGTTTGGACTCTCTCCAGCAATTTCTTTCAATGACCTCTTTCTGACACATAAAACGATCCAATTGGCAATGCCTTCTTGAAAGATTATAATCTGAAACCTGTTTTTTTTATCACTGCTCTCCAATCAAGATCAAATACTGCTGCAAATAAAACTACTCTTAATACAGAAAGGCCCAGAGAGAATGTCTACTGCAGGAAATGCAATAAAGGAGTAGAAACTGTGAATCACTTCCTCAGTCAGTGCATTTTTACGAAGCCAGATAGAATAAACCATCATGATGAGATCAAGAACTTCATAAAGGGGAAGAATCTTTTGATATCTTACATCATGGTGTCCATGGCAGCCACTTTATCAGTTGCTGAAGAGGTTACACTCAAACCTGACCTGGTAATAAAAATATAGGGAAGAGTTCCGCATGGTTGATGTGACTGTCCGTCATGAGGATGGGTCTAGCCTTCTGAAAGCAAGGGAGGATAAGATGGTAAAATACCAATCAGTCATTTCCCTGGAAGCCCAACTTCATGAAGAGACCAACGCCAGAATCCTTCCAGTGGTGGTTGGAACCTCTAGGGTTATGTCAAGATATACAGCCAGTGGTGGTTGGAACCTCTAGGGCTAGGCCAAGATCCACAGTAAGTTCCCTGAGCACCTTGGGGATCACATCCCGAGGCAATCTACTATCTTGTTAATTGTTCTCAGAAGCTTTATTAAGCTCCACACACAATTTATAAATTACAATGGAGCAATTTAGCATTGCTGGCAGTAAATGCAGAAAAAGAACTTCATGGTCCCGTGGGGAAGTCTAGGGAACCAAGGGGATCGTACAATGCCAAGAAATTACTTAGTTACCATGACTTTAAGTGGGAAGTGTATGTTATTTAATGCAGTGTATTGAAAATTGTGTAATCAGAATCCATATATTGTAGGTTCATGATACCGAAAAATTGATTCACACAAAACGTGTCTGTTTGTGAACCATAAGCAGCTAGCAGTGGCTAAACCATAAGCAGGACTTTCACCAAAATTGATATTTCGCAATCGATATGGCTGGTGTAATGGCCCCTTGAATTTGAAATCAATTTTAATTTTGGGGAATACTTTACATGAAGCCGTTTGCGCATTACAAAAACTATGGATTAAATGTTGAACTTGGATAGAGAAAAGAATGCTTAAGAGAATGGTGCAGATCCCATATTCATTAAAAATCCCAATTTTTCCAAAATCGCACAAATTCAAAAAAATTTCTGTATTTTCCTGTAACTATAATTACGACGATAAACATTTTTCTCAATGAAATGTGCTCATCAGAAACATCTTCAAATATGGTCATGTTCAATTTCTCGAAAATTGGAGTTGTTTTCACGAAATTGTATGTGAAATACAGGCTATTTTTAATTTTTTTTCAAAAGCATTTGTCTCAAAAACGACACAATTTTTAAAATTATATTTTGACCTCATTTTGCCTACAGGACACTAAAAAAAATGGTGCAAATCTCATGTTCATTGAAAAAAACCCTGATTTTCTGAAAATTGCAAAAATTTGAAATTTTTTCGTCTTCCTTCAACTACAATGATGAAGACATCATTTTCTTAATGAAATATGTTCATCAAAACAGATCTTCAAGTAAGATTAAGGTTAAATTTTTTGAAAATACGAGTGTGGTTTGCATAATTAAACGTGAAACATTTGCAATGTTTAATTTTTAAACAATTATTTTCTCAGAAACTGCTCCAATTTTTTCTTTAATTTTTTTTTCACGTATGTAGCAAAAAGTGGTAAAGAAAGTGGTGTCAGTTCCATTTTCAATGCACTCTCTGTATTTTCGAAAGTTGGGAAAAAAATTGAAATGGTAAATTTGAATTTCCCGAGCTTTATTTGATGTGGTTTTACTCTGTGAATGTAATTTGACAAGTGCTTGGAAACAGTCATTTGAAGTATGAAATTAAATATTACGTTTAATATTATTTAAGCATTAAATATATTTTAAACTGCGTCATTTAAGTGAGTTAAATGTGAAACCGATTTTGCTTGGCAAAGATAGATGCGGAATTGGCGAGTAATTCGTGTAAAAAGAGGAGATTTGATGAATACGAGAATTTTATACACATTATATTCGTATTTTGTTGCAATCGGTCACACAAATGCTAATTTTGCAAAATTTGTGTATGCCATACGTATCCAACGGTCATTGTTGGTTTAGCAATGTCGCACTGATAACAGAAAGTGGTAGTGACGACTACAGTGATAACCGCCATTATTATAAATAAATAATTTTATTTATGCCTAAAATACGCATAGAACGTGAATACACTGAATTCAATGACAGAAAGGCATTCCAGTGAAACATTTCGATTAAACATATATGTATTTTTCACGCTTTGTTTCTTTAAGAATTTGTGAAGTGGTAGCTGACGTATAAGACATAAATTGTCACATAATATTATATAACCATTAACAACATTACGAGAAAGAATGTGCTGTTTTAGCATCACTAGTTTATACTTGTTGCGGATCCTCTTGGAGTTAGTTGTGGAATATCAGGGGTTTACAAATCATTTTGTATCTGAATTGCAGTTCCAATCTGATTTCATCTGCTGTCCAAAGTCAGAGTTGTATAAAATAAATAACAGGGTACTGTTCCCTGCTGCACTCCGCCGGTAAATCATCTTGGCAAAGATTAAATGTCACCCACTAGTATAGTACATGAAAAGTTTTTAAGATATTCCCTAATCCAAGTTAAAAGGCGACCATTCAGACCTGTACACTCCAGTTTTCAATCTATTTTTTGTGGTGGAGCTTTATTAAACGCTTTTGCAAAATCAATGTGTATTACGTCTATTGGTTCCAGGTCCGGTGGATAATATGGATATGGTGGGTTCTTGCCATTGAGTCTATCTTCACCTGCACTTCGAGTGGTATGCGTTTTCCACTGAGGAGAATCTTCTTGGCCAAGAGTTCACTCGGAAGTATCATCTTCAGTGGTCTGGGATGTCTCGTTTCTGCATTTAGTTTTACCAAGTTTGTCCATAAGCTGAATGAAACCTTCCAAATATTGTTCCATGTATTGTATCGAGGTCTTGAGCCTTGAGATTACTGATCTTTGAGAAAGAAATTACTGGATATGTAAATTAGTTATGTATTTAAACATGCCCACAGAACAGAGTTTAATTCCTTTTCTTCATCTCGATTGATACAATAATTCTGATAAATTATTGTTTATGGAACTTCTTGAAATTAGTCAAATGTTTTGTGTGCATCACCAATGTATCGTTAATGATTGAATTAGAAAAATTATCACTTCCTTTTCAATTTTGCTTCTATTTTTACAAGTACAATACGGCTATGCAAGTTCCATGACAATGTTCTGATAAGAAAATTTAATTTCTTTACTTTGTAAGTTTCATAACAGTTGTCATTGAAGACAACCTTTAAACAGATTACCTGAGTGTGCTTATAAACTTTCTGTTCACTATTAAAGTGTCATGTCTTTCAGAATAATCTATTTCTTTTATCAAGCAATAATTTTGTTAAATTAACTTATCTTCAGAGCAGTTAATTTGTGAAGAGGAAGATTTATAATGTATCCCTTACAAAATAATATTCAGGGTTGTTCATTTTGAGAAATGTAAACATTTTCAAATACATAAAATGCTTCATAAAATTTACATGTGTAATATAAATTCCTTCTATCAACATTGTATTTAAATCTATTTACCAAGGATGCCCACCAAATTCCGGAACAAGTCATCCATAACATAGTCAATAAACGTCTTCATGACTACATCAGCAGCACATTTTCCATCGTTAACCTTTAAACTCAAATTATAGTCAGGCAGAAGGGAATCATTCCTATTGACAGCTTCTAGAGCCATTTCTGCAGCTGAAAGGAAGATATTAATTACTTCATATTCTCTTTTCATAAACATTTCAAAACATATATCTTACATGGAAAATTTGGTATTTATAAAACACAATCAAAGGATAATCATAAATATAATTTCAATATAATTTCAATTTTAATTGTAAGAAATAATTTGTATGAATAAATCAGAATTATCATTTTTAAATGTATATTCATTTTTGAGTGTTTGTAACAAATGATTAACACAACAGACTTATGAATTATTATAGCTAACCTCGAACAATTCCATGATATATGTGAGATGATCCTGTAATGGGGAAAATTCCTCCAATGGAAAGTTTATTTTTTCCTGTTTTCTTCCACTTCTCCCAGATTGGCTCATTTTTCTGCATCCAAGCACAAGCTGTCTGTTCCACATTCTGATACACTCTATACAGAGTTAAAAGTTCAGCATAGTCTAGTGTCATCTCATCAATAGCCTAGAATTGAAATGTTAAAAGTTAATTGCACAAGATTGTGGAAATGAGAAATATTTAGCTGGCCAGTTGATTTTACGCCAAATGCGACATACACCAGACCCACACTTAGTGGGGCCCTGAACTTTTTTTTCCATTTGAAAGACAGAGAAATGTTACAAACTACTAATACAAACAGAACCCTGTAAGTTATTTATGATGCACAGATAAATGAATTCTGTTTATGAATTGGAGTAGTAAGAATTTTTTGTTTGAAATGAGGGATCTCATTAACAACCCCTGGTCCCTGGTTTTCTCTGGGCACCCTAGGTTATGGCTTTATTGTTTTGAATATGACATGCTATAAGCATAGTCATTATTAAATTATTGAAAAAAGCTTAACTTGATGAAGGGAAATGTCAAGCCAGGCAGCTGAGTGTTTTAAACAAAACAAAATCTCAAAAATCTTGTGACATTGTAATTGCAATTAGATCATAAAGCCTTCAATGCTATTTCTTAATTCATAATCACAATGTATAGATTTGTTATTTTTATGCTTCAGGGATTCAGTTTTTTCAATGTGAGAAGATTTTGTATAAGCTTCAGGACTAATAGTTCCCATTTTTACATCTTCTTGGTTTAATTTGGGAATTGAAACTTCAAAATATTACAGATGTATTTTCTTTTTACAAATTCTTTATAAAATGCTTTCTGATAAACAAAGATTTAAAAAGTAGTTCAAAATATTTAATTGGTAAAAGGTCTTGACTTGTCAAGGGTGAATTTTGACAATTTATATTACTATTCTTTTACTCCTGTGAAATTAACTAATTTATCAATGACATCATTGTTACCAACATCAATACATTGGAACATGGAAAACTGAGAAACCACTCTGACAAAAGGCTTTCCTCAACTGATAAATGGCTAAAAATCTGTTGAGGCTGAGAGAATGGCTGAGGGTGAGTAGATTTTGTATTGTATTTTATTTTTAACTTTTCTTTTACATTATTTATTTTCAATTTTAATTTTACATTTTTTCCACTCAATTTTATTTTATGTGCTTCCATGGCCCCACGCAATGAGACTGATGAAGTCGGTAAAATAAAAAAATTTAAAAAAAATACAAACTAATTATACCTCATAAGCAGGTTTTGCACTCGCTGGCAATGCTGGCCACACCAACTTCACCAAACGTTGCATCTCATAATTACATTTTTGTATACAGTCATCGTGAGATTTGTTACAACTTGGATTGCATTGTGGCATGGCAATGGCTCTAAATTCATCATTAGGAGAAACAATTAATTCATCAGGTACTCCAACGAGGACAACCAACGAGTGATTTATAGAACCTGATACTGAACGTTCATGGTAGCGCTTCATCAAATCGTAAGTAGTGTTTGCCAAATGTGCTCCTAACCAGACAATTTGTACATAGAGATGCAACTTCTCAATGTCTTCTTTTGCAAAAGAGGTTTCCTCTGAAACAAAGATAAGATCACAATCAATAATATTTTCTTCATATTAAATCGGTTATAATAATTGAAACTCAGATCTCTTTCATTAACAAATCAATTATTTTGATTATCATTAATAAGTTTCTAATACCATATATTAACCGAAAAAAAGAGAATTACACATACTTCAGACTCGACACTACATGTACATATATATGAATTTCTAGAGGAATACTTGGGGAGACATACCCTTTAAGAATTTGAATGCTAAGAAAAAAAGAAATCAATACAGTAGCGTAATTTCAACAGAGGAGGCCCTTAGACCGACACAATATGGGGCCTCTTAATTAAGGACGTTCTTTTTCTTCCCAGGGCTTTTTCCAAGTTCAGGGGATGCCGATTTCGGCTATCCTCGCCGGGTACCCACCATGTCGCTCACGGGAACGCACATTAAACTAGACACATGCGTACTCCTTGGCCTGTGGTCAGCAGACTCACGAGGCCTCCCGCGACAATGCCCACGGCGAGGCTCAAACACGCAACCCTTCGGACCGGAACTTGGTCGGCAAACGATTTAGCCACCAGGGGTAAACCAGGTCAGCTCCCCAACATACCATTAATTTAATTTTGTGACTTTAAACTGAAATTTAGGAGTGAAAATATTTATTACAATAAATTATTACAGAAAATAAATTATCGTTTTTGCAATTTCATAATACAATTTAAAATTTAATTTTTTTTTCATTTACAAATTTTTACCGAATATTAGAAATACGTATTATTTTCAACCACATTCTTTTTCGTGCTCGCTTAATAAAATACTTAAATTACCTAACGAACTTGTCATTGCACTTCGTATATAATTTTTAATCAGCTTTAATTTTGAAAATGTTCGTTCCACGCTGGCGAATGTGACAGGCGTTTCAAAGATAATATCTACACTGCACACACATCGTGAAAAAGTGTGAATTGTGAGTTAATAAGCAATATTCAATTATTAATAAGTTGGGCAAAATCTTTAACAAATCTGTTTTGAAATTTGACTCTAAACAAATGCACAAAGACAACACCTGAGAAGAGAAGTTTTTCGTAACAACTGTAGGTATTTTAATCGAGTTTTTTTGTGCTTCTTCGTAAATTTTATCGTTTGAAGAGCTGTAAAAACTTGTGGCAAATAACTTTGAAAATTGCCCCTGTCTTTTTCAATTGAAAACATCGCAGCTCAAAACTGATTAATAGCATTATCTAAGCATCCATAGTAAACATTAAGTTTCTATCTTTGTCTGCTATCGGTAAGTCATTGATTCTAGCAAAGTTTACATTCTCGTATTCGTACGTATACGTGGAGTAATATAAGTGGTAAAGAGACAGTAAGGTAATGCTGCGGAATATCGATTTCGAGATTTCGGCAGAAATACTCGTTTTGGAGTCCCCTGATACCGAACAAATTTTGTTGTTTTTCTTTCAAAACGTTTGTCCTCCCATCCATCCATCCATCCATCCATCCATCCATTCATCCATCCATCCATGAACACCATTGGCGCCTAAATAATATTTTTCCAAAAAGGATACTCTCCGGTCGATGTGGCTCGACTAGAAGCATTGCGATTTTGAAAAACACTTTAAAATTGGGGGTACTTTACATGCCTGCCCGAAGTATGTGCTGATGTAGCACAGCAAGTTTGAAATACCTCTTTCGCATTTAATACATTTCCAGCGATTTGTGTAGTATAGCATTTTAAAGTGAAATGATTAAAATGAAGTTAAATAAACAAGATTGCTGTGAAAAAGAGTTTCAAATTTCGCATTAACACTAGAGCTCAAACGTTTTTTTTTTAACCTACTCCAAATTTTTCCACGACAATCTTCTTATAGGACAAGGTTTTATTCTTCTTTAATATTTTAAATGAGATATTTGGGATCTACAATTAGGAAACCGAAAAGTTTGGAATAGAGACAGTGAGGTATATATATATATATATATATATATATATATATATATATATATATATATATATATATATATATAGTAAAGAACGCGAGTGTCTAGGTTCGTCCCCACACGCCCACATATCATGAGGACGCTAGTGGTAGTCCGGGTGAGCGAACGCGGCAGTTTGAAAAGGGCGCGCCCGCAGCCTACAGTACTGTTGCGCGCGATGTCCACGGCACAGCGCAGGAATATAATGTTGAAGCAGTCAGACTGGAAAGGGGGAGATGACACGCACTACCCCTACACGGAAGGCGCGTGCATAAGTAGGCGAGCCCACGGTCGGTCAGTCTCTTTCGTTCGCGTTCGCTAAGCCAGCTCTAGCCTCTAGTAAAGCGTGGCAACGCCTGGCCATGTTGCGAAGCATTACTTTCAGACGAAGCAAACTCGTCTCCACGGCGAATGCCCTCGCTTTTTATATAAACCATGATTAGACCATTATGGACTACGCCCTGCCCAAGTTGGGGGATAGCGGGCGCACGCACACTTAAATAAGTTGCAAGTAGTTCAAAATGCGTGCCTTCGTAAATACTGGCGCGCCAATGTTATTAGAAACGCAGATTTACACGCTGCAGTAAAACTACCGCTCATAGAAGAGCACTTTAAAAACTTAGAAAAAGTCTTTTATTCAAAATTAAATACGTCAAATAATGACATTATATAAATTTATCTTTGTACGAGCGGACCCCACGGCTACGTACAAGCGCCCGAGAGATATGCTACAATAGGCGAGACGCAAATACTTGCATGAAAATTGCGGTAAACAACGCCAAAAAGCGCGCCGAACCGGCTATTGTCTTTCCTGACCATGTTCTTTTCTCCATTTTCAGATCAGCCATAGATGTCCGAAAGGATAGGAATGGCTTCCAAGAGGGAAGTGTGGCGGCATTGCACTACTGCGGCCACACGCCCCTGCGCTGCAAAGCACCTCGCGCGCTAAGCCAGCGGCACTCGCATTAGTTCTAGACCGTCGATCCAGTAACAACTTCGTCGGGTTACTAGGCAGGGGTGTTGGACGTCGGAAAGACGCCTATATAGCCGTCCGCAAACTTTGTACAAGTTTTCTGGAAGAAAGTATTTCTTCAGACAAAGACGAGGGGGGTGAATCTAATCTACCCGTTATTGTGGAGCTGAGGCCAAGTACAATAGGGAAGTAGTTCGTGCTGAGGTCAAGTAAATTTCTATCAGCGGAGAAATTTGGGACAGTGCGGTGCGAGGAACATTCGCACGCGGGCGTAAATACAAACATCGAGGTGGACGAAGCAAACGAGGGCGGACGGCGCCGGGAACACAAGACCGGAAGACGACGCAAGAGGGCAGCCAGGGGCCCACTAGCGGCAGCGCGGAAGCCGGAGGTGACCTCCGCCGACGCAGAGGCCGGGGCGCGTCAAGGTCAAGCATTGGAGCTCGGAGAGCACTGAGACGGGAGGTAACGGCGCGCAAGCGCCGCAAAAATGAGGTCGAAGTCGCGACGGCCAGGGAGAACTTATTAGCCAGAAAATTGTGAGTGAAATAACTACACGGGAGGGTCATTCAAAGATTCTTGTCATTTTAAAACGCTTGCCTACTAAAAGTGTAAATAGATCATTATTCATTTTTTTGTTGTTCACGGCATGTAGCAGTGATGCATTTGGGCACTTTTTTGTAAGTAACGTTATTTGAAGGGAATGTTAAATTGTATATTTTGTCAGTGTTTAAAGTAAATAGGAATTGTAACAAATTTAATTATTGAGAGTAACAAAGAGAATTCCCAGTGATCAGTAATGTGATTAGTTTAACGAGTAATTTTTACTTCATTGAAAAAGGGTCTCAGATTTTTGTTATATATATATATATATATATACCCAGAGAGATTCAGATTCAAATACTGTTCCCTTGCAAATAAAAAAAACCTAACTTCCCCCTTAAATTTACAGAAAGGCCCCCCCCCCCCAAAAGAAAAAAGGGAGGGGAAAAAAAAAATTTGGGGGGTTTTCCTTTTTAAAAAAAAAAAAAAAAAAAAAGCTTGCCCCGCCAAAAGAAAATGCCAATAAAAAAGGGGAGTTAACAAAAAAAAAGAAAAACCCCTTTTTGGGTGGGAAAAAAAAATCCAAAAACTTCCTCAGTTCCAAAGTGGCATTTTTACGAGGGCCCAGGGATAGAAATTAAAACCATACATGAAATGAGATCAAGAAACTTCAAAAAATAAAGGGAAAGAATCTTTTTTGATATCTTACATCATGGTGTTCCATGGCACAGCCACTTTATCAGTTTGCCTGAAGAGGTTTACACTCAAACGCTGACCTGGTTAAATAACAAATTAGTGAAGAGTTCCGCATGGTCGATTTGTGACTGTCCCGTCCATGAGGATGGGTCTAGCCTTCTGAAAGCAAGGAGGATAAGAATGGTAAAATACCAATCAGTCATTTCCCTGGAAGCCGCAACTTCATGAAGAGACCAACGCCAGAATCCTTCCAGTGGTGGTTGGAACCTCTAGGGTTATGTCAAGATATACAGCAGTGGTGGTTGGAACCTCTAGGGCTAGGCCAAGATCCCAAGTAAGTTCCTGAAGCACACTTGGGGATCCACATCCCGGAGGCAATCTACTATCTTGTTAATTGTTCTCAAGAAGCTTATTAAGCTTCCACAAAGCACAATTTATAAATTACAATGGAGCAATTTACCATTGCTGGCAGTAAATGCAGAAAAAGAACTCAATGGTCCCGTGGGGAAGTCTAGGGAACCAAGGGGATGCGTAACAATGCAAGAAAATTACTTTAGTTACCATGACTTTAAGTGGAAGTGGTAATGTTATTTAATGGCAGTTGTATTGAATTGTTGGTAATTCAGAATCCATATATGTAGGTTCATGATACCGAAAATTGATTTCACACAAAACGTGTCTGTTGTGAAACCATAAGCAGCTAGCAGTGGCTAAAGCATAAGCAGGCTTTCAACCCAAAAATTGATATTCGCAATCGATATGGCTTGGTGTAATGGCCCGCTTGAATTTGAAATCATTTTAAATTTTGGGGAATACTTTACATGAAAGGCC